CTGAGACAGGGTAACGTTATGAGGACCATCTCCTCTTGGAGAATCAGTAGGCAAGTGGGCAGAGATCTTTGAACTCCTAATCAGAAGTTAGATTAGGGAAGCTGGTTTGTCTGCCCTGCAGAGATGAAATTTGTTTCCTCCTTCTTTCTGAACACATTATCACGTTGTTGTTGACAATTTATTACCCTGTCCTATTCCACACAATCTTCTGGGGCCAGGATTCTTTATTCCTATATTTGAATTTTGACACTTTTGCATTTTTTCGTGAACAATTTGTCTTAGAGATCAATAGAAGGTTTCTGAGGAAATGGAGTGTGGCTGCATTGCCTCATTCTGCCTCTTGGGACAGAGACAACGTATTTCTCTCCAGGCTTCCCAGACTTTATGCATTAAGTTGGGGTAAGGTCCCCTTCTTACTTCAGCACTGTCTCTCTTGTCAACCCCAAGGCCAGGTTAGGGTGCCCCAGAACTCTGACAAGTTATAATAAAATTGTTATTTTTCCCATTTTCTAGATGGGAAAATTGAGACTTAGAGATGCTAAGCACTGGTTCAAGTTCACAAAACTGTGAATGTGGGTACACTGGACACGATACCTATTCTTTCAAAGTCATCAAGTTTACAATTTAAAAACTTGGATCGGTTTCTTCACCACATCACCCTACCCTTATTCTCAAGCATTTCTTTCAGGTTGTTTTGTTTCCATAATGAAAAAATACAAATATATAATTTATTAAGAAATGAGGTAGTTGCAGATCCATGGTCAAGTGGATTATTGTTTAAAAAATGCAAAGAGAGATAGATCACTTTAGGTTTACTGGCTTGATAATGCTTTAAGAAGAAAAAAATAAAATTGGTAGGGAACTGAGTAGTATGACTGGAGGTTGCAGAGATAAAGAAATTAAGGATGGATATTGCCAATTGGGTACAAAGAATTGACCAAAATTTAGTAGTAACATTGGAGATTATAAGCTGTGTTTATAGAATAGTCAATAATCTCATTTCACTGAAGGGAAGGATGTGAGTGAGGTGTGCAGGAGTAGTAAAAATGAATGCTTGAGAAGAGAAGTTGCGGTCAAAATATAGAAGGTTTTAATATTAAGACAAATGGTTCTTTGTACATTCTAAATATTAGCCCTTTAACTAATGTAGTTTGTGAATATTATCATCCATTCTATAGGCTATTTTCTCTGTTAATTATTTCCTTAGTTATGCAGATATTTAAATTCCATCAAATTTATGTATTGCTATAATTGCCATTGGTGTCATAGTCAAATTATTTGTCTAGGCCAATATTTAGAAGGGTTTTTCTCTAAATTTTTTCTTAAAATTATTATTGCTTTCATGCCTAACATTTAAGTATTTTATCCATGTTGAATTATTTTTGTGAATATTGAGAGATATACATCGTGTTTCATTCTTCTGCAAGTGGCTATCCAAATTCTCCAGAACCATTTATTAAATAGTGGTTCTTTTCTACAGTGTATATTATAATCTTCTTTTCCAAAGATCAGTTGATTTTATGCAGATTGTTTTGTATCTGTGCTTTCTGTTATGTTCCATTGGCCTATGTCTGTATTTTTGAGCCTATACCATGCTGTTTTGGTTACTATAGCCTTGCATTACAGTTCAAAGTTGGGTAATGTAACTTAATAGATCCAGATTTGTTCTTTGGCTTGAGATGTCTTAGTTATCTAAACTCTTTTCTGGTTCCAAACAAAGTGTTCACTGTTTTTCTAAATCTATGAAATATGGTGTTAGTATTTTGATGAAGATCACATTGAATGTGTAATTCACTTTGGGTAGTGTGAACATTTTAACAATGTTGATTATACTGATCCATGAGCACAATATGTTTCAATTTTTGTCATTTGAAAATTTCTGTCCTCAGTGTTTTGTAGTTCTGTTTATAGGGATATTTCACCTCCTCGATTAAGTATATTCCTAGGTATTTTCTTTGCATTTATTGTGAACGCCATCGTGTCTTTGATTTGACTCTCAGCTTAATTGTTACTGGTGTATAGAAATGTTAATGATTTATGTACATTGATTATGTGACCTTAGGATTTGCTGAAATTTTTATCAATTTCAGGAGTCTAATGGTGAAGGCATGGGGGTTTTCCTATATATAAGATCCTATCATCAGGATAGGATGAAAGCATTTTACTTCTTTCTCTTTCTTAATTGCTTTGGCTAGAACTTTTAGGTCTATGTTGAATAGAAGTGGTGGCAGTGAGCACCATTGTCTTTTTCCAGTTAATAGAGCAATGTTTTCAACTTTTCCCCATTCTTTATGATGTTGCCTGTGGGTTTGTCATATATAGCTTTTGTAATTTTGAGATATGTTCCTTCTACACCTAGTCTGTTGAAAGTTTTTACCATGAAATGGTGCCAGATTTTGGAATGCAAATTAGTACAACATCTATGAAAACATGGAAATTCCTCAAAGGACTAATGTAGTGTACAAGTTGACCTAACAACCTCATTGAGTATCAATCCAAAAACAATAAAACTTTTCATTGAAAAGAAAATAGCACTTTAATATTGAGTGTATATTGCAGCACAACTCACAATTACAAAGATGTGGAATCAGCTCAAGTGCCCATCAATTTCTGAATGGATTAATGAAATGTGGCATACACATAAATATATACATACATGCACCATGGAATACTACTCACCCATAAAAATGATGAATTAGTGTTTTCTGCAACAAATTGTATGGATTGGAGATCATTATTCTAAGTGAAGTATGTAAAAACATAAAGGAAAAGAAAATATCACATGTACTCACTATTCAACTGAAACTAACTCATGAGCATACATCTGCATAGAGGGAAGTAAAGCTCAGTTAAATCAAACATAGAGGAAGGATGATGAAGGAATGGGTTAAAAGCTACCTAACAGGTACAATGAGCACTTTTTGGGTGATGGGCACAGTTATATCAATGACTCGAGCACTAGAAAAGTGATTCATATAACTAAAAATATTTGTACCCCCTCAATGTTATGACAAAACAAACACAAAATAAAAATAAAACAAATTCCAAAGCAAATGGGTTTTTGCCTTATTCTCAGGGGTAATCAAGAGCTGCTGAGGATGTTTTCCTTTCCTTTATTTTTCTTGTAGCAAGCTGCATTTCTAAAAGTTTGATACAATAGTCAGAGATGACTAGGAACAAGCAGAGAGAACACTCAAGGGGCTTCAATATAGTCCAAGGTTGAGCTGATAGAAGGCTCACGGCAGTGAGGATGGCAGTGCAGCAAATGGAATGGGACAGATGTGAGAGATATTGTCCAAGGAGAGTTGGCAGAATATGGTGACTGACTGGATACAGGGTGAGGAAAAAGGTAAAAAATTTTTTGGTATCCTAACACATTTTTCTCACAACTTCACACAAGTACTAAGTGCTGTTGGCTCCTATTCCAGTTCAGACTATTTTAAATTGATTATTGCACTTGTTTTTTTTTTTTTTTCCTCCCAAGCTTTCACAATGTCTTCTGGGGTAATTAGAGACCCACAGGGTTTGACAGAGCTAGTCACTATCCTTATCAAATGATTATTTATCATAATGAGTATTATTATTTATACTCATACATCTCTGGTTTTTAAGCTAAACTCCAGCAGTTGGATGAAATATGGAGACATTAGCATTAAGAAAGGCAGAAGTAGACTTGGTGCCCATAGCTCAGTGATTGGGGCACCAGCCACATACATTGAGGCTGGTGAGTACGAGCCCAGCTCAGGACTGCTAAACAACAACAACTGCAACAACAACAACAACAACAAAATAGCTGGGCATTGTTGTGGCTGGTACATGTAGTCCCAGATACTTGGGAGGCTGAGGCAAGAGAATCACTTAAGCCCAAGAGTTGGAGATCAATATGAGCTGTGATGCCATAGCACTCTACAGAGGATGACAAAGTGGGACTCTGTCTCAATAAAAAAAAAAAAAAAGAAAAAAGAAAGAAAGACAGAAGTAAATTATACCGTAAGAACACAGACTTATATCACCTCATTTTCTAAAGCATAAAACTGAGCCTCTCAGAGGGCTCCTGAGTTTGCCCAGTATTATTTGTTTGGCAAAACTCATTTTTCTTAGCAGCATTTTTCCTCTAAAGTTTCTATGTTGCCCCACTCTAATTAGGACTGACAGTCTGCAATATAACTAAAGGGTGACAGTTTCCTTAAACTATAGCATTGGAATTTAACCAAGGAGTATCTTTAATGATGAACAGGTCCTGGTTTTTACTATAAACATTGTCATATAATACATCAGTTTTGAGGAAGTGCAAAGATAACAGCCTTTATAAATGGCAGGGCTTTTGGTATTTTTCTTCTCTTTTCTGAATGTTTGAAGCTCACAAAATTAGAAGTTTATCACAGTGGTAAAGCTTTTCTTAGGATCCTAACTCTTACTCAAGATTTAAAAAGAACATAGCTTTATAAATATCTAGAAAAGGTTGTTCCATCACTGGATTTAGAAATATTGTGGCTTTGCTACTGTAATCAGCTGAAAGTTCTATGAATGGAGGAACTTAGAGTCAATGGAATCAACATTTTTTAAAAAGAAATCTAGTTACTTTTCTGTATGCATAAGGTTGATTGGAGATTTTACACTTAAAGAGGAATTTAGTGCCACTGAATCTCCAACAGATTGCTGAGACCACCAATTTCACACCATCCCTTCACAGTATGGAGACAAGAGAACAGTCTTGGAGCACTAGGAATGAAAAAGTTTTGAACTGGTTATAGCAAAATCTTGATGCCATTTTTAAACTGATCTGCTTTTCCTGGACAAGAGGAGATTCCAATTATTTTGCCAAAATGGGGTCAAAAAATTCACAATTCACTAGAAGTACACCCCGTAAGATTTGCTGGAAAAGAAAGTTGATTTGAAGAATCTTTTTTGCAAAGGACATCTACCAGGTGGTTGATAAAATTGTTTGTGCTATGTTTCCAGTCACCCAGGATAAACTGTTTGCATTTTTTGGTCACAGTATGGTATTCTATCTTGCTTTTATGACCACGTTACACCTGAAAGGGAAGTATAAACTAGAACCAGTGCATTTCTTTGTGTCCAGTACAACTTCTCCCCATTCCAAGGCCCAGTCTTATATTCCCAAAGATAGCAAACTGTCTGAAGAGCAAATTAGCCATCACCTTATGGATTTTGGAGGTATTGCCAAAATTGAAGTTGCTGAAGACAAGCAACTTTTGCAACAATATATTCCCATACTGGTGACATATGCATACATGACAAGTATTTACACCCTTGATAAACCTTCCAAAGCTATTCTTTCTATTGACTTAATGTGCTTTTTTTTTTTTTTTTTTTTTTTTTGAGACAGAGTCTGACTTTGTCACCCTTGGTAGAATGCCATGGCATCATAGTTCACAGCAATCTCAAACTCTTGGGCTCAAGAGATTCTCTGTCCTCACTCTCCTGTGTAGTTGGGACTACACAAATCCACCACAAGGCCCAGCTATTTTTTGGTTGTAGTTATCATTGTTGTTTGGCAGGCCCAGGCCAGGTTTTAAGGCTGCCAGCTGCTGGAGTATGCGGCTGGCACCCTAGCCTTTGAGCCTGGCTATTATTTTTAGAGATGAGGTCTCACTCTGGCTCAAACTGGTCTCAAACCTGTGAGCTCAGGCAATCCACCTTCCTCAGCCTCCTAGAGTGTTGGGGTTACAGGAGTGAGCCATTGTACCCGGACCTTAATGTGCTTTATTGGTTCCAAAGGCATAGAAAAATTACATAAGCAGCTGGCCTTTATAAACTGCTCCCAGACCTTTCCAATGATGACCTCCAATTTCTACTGCTTTACTCCTCTGACATTCTACTTACATGTCCTGATTTGTACTGTTTACTTTGTAATTTCCTAAATACACTGTCCTGCCACAGCAAGTTTGTCCATCAATGAGAAGATTCTGAAAATACTATAAAATATTCTTTATTTAATTAATAGATATCACCATAATCATTTGTCACTGATCCCATAATACTACCTCCTATTGTGATTACTAGTTGCATATTAGCCTGCAAAAAGGCATGAAATTCATATTAAAAGAATCATAATATCTGCTTAACAAAGATAAATCTGGGCTCTGTATGTCATCGTAGCACCTACAAGTAGGCCCCAGTCATTGGCTTCCAAATTTACACCTATGTAATACTAATACTATGTGTAGTTAAATCTCTACACAAAGAGACTGACTCAACTTTGACAATACTCATTTTGAGTAAAAATGTTTTTATGCCACTCTGGATGATACATCTTAGAGAAAGCTTTCTAAGTCTTTAGAGGCTTTGTCTCCACACTATTTCTGGTCAGTCAACCTGTTTTCTCACTTGTCTTAGAAGCAAGGGAGGAGATTTCACATTAGGCTAATTAATTTGAACCTAAGTAAAAGCAAGATTCTTTTTCCTAGGTTATGAAATTATAACCTAGGAAAGCATAAACTGTTACCAATATTACCTGTGTAATTGGTTGTTACCTGTGTTGAAATGTTTTGCTGTATTGGTTGTTACCTGTGTTGAAATGTTGCTACTTTTAGAAGGAATCTTGATAGTTTCTGAATTTAAAGTTAAATTGATAATTTTCTATGTATAATTGGGGCTGTGACTAGTAATAGCACAAATTCTGCTTTCAAGAAAAAATAAAAAAAAGAAGAAGAAAAACTTGACAGCTTTTCTTATTGTTAAACGGCCTTTATAAAACAATTTAAAGGGGTATAGCCAACAGTTGTTTAACAGATAAATAATACAGTTATAATAGATAGATTCTAGTGTTCTATAGCACTGTAGGATGACATAATTAAAAATAATTTATTGTATGTTTTCTAATAGCTAATTGAGTGGATTTTGAAGATTCCCAATGCACACAAAAAATAATAAATATTTTAGGTGATAGATATGCTAATCCTCCTGATTTGATCATTACACATCTATGAGTATCAAATTATCATAAATATATGCAATTATGTGTGAATTAAAGTAATAATAAAAGTAACAATAGAATAAAAAAGGTCATTTCCTAGTAAATCTTATATAAAATATAGGTCTCAATTTTACATATCTTTCAGTAATAAATATTATCTTCAATTTGTGACTCAAAAAAATTTAAGGAAACAATATTGTTAAAAATAGCCTGCTAAAAATCCAATGTGGTGATTTCACATTACTAAATTTGTTGAAAACTGAGGGTAGTATACTTAATTTATGACTTTGCTAACTGACTGAAAATGAGTTTAGACATTTTTTTCTAAAACCAAACACAACTATATTTCTTTATTTTTCCACCTGAAATTGAGCTAAGCAGGCAGTACAACAAGTTGATGTTAGTATGAGAAACAAGTCAAAAGTGATAGGAGTTAATATTAGGTGTTTTAATTTCCCTGTCTTGATTTTAGAGCACCATCTACCGTGGAGAGATGTACCTCTTTGAGTCTGAGGATCCTACTAATTCTTACTTCCTGCTTGTGATGAAGGAGGCTGACATTCATGAAGATGACAACATTGCAATCATTGATGTACCTGTCCCCAGTTTCTCTGATAGTTCCCCTGCAGCAATTATTCATGACTTTGAAATGGTTGATTTCTCATTCTTATACATATTCCAGAATTTTCTTTTTTTCCCCTAGCTCATTAGCAGGTAATAAATCCATGTAAAAATGTAAATCTATTTGAAGAAAAGCCTTTTCACTCCTTTGTTAGTGAATATACATTACTTGATATTGAAAAATGTAGCTGGTTATTCTAATGGTAGTTGGAGAATTCATAGTGTTGATACATTCTCTGTGCTAACTTTGTCCTTCCCCAACAGGAAATGACTGTGTACCTGGACTTGCTGCTGGAAAACTGCTATCTGATGCTCCTCAATACCTCTATTGTTATGCCTCCCAAGAATATGGTAGAGCTCTTTGGCAAGCTGGCAGTATTATTTTGGAAGTCAAATTTTTTATCTATAAGTATTTCCAAATAACTTCCTTGTTTTAAAAAATAGTGAATTTGCCTAAAATGTGCCACTTAATTGCAATATTTTCTGTTTTTTTTTTTTTTTTTTTAAATTCGTGGTGATTCATTGAGGGTACAAGGAACCAGGTTACACTGATTGCATTTGTTAGGTAAAGTCCCTCTTACAATTGTGTCTTGCCCCCAAAAGCTGTGACACACACTGAGATCCCACCCACTTCCTTCCTTACCTCTCTCTGCTGTTCCTTTTCCCCATGCCCTCCATCCTTCTCTCTTCTCTGCTCTCCCCCTCTCCCACCCTCCACCATGTATTAGGACATTAATTGTCATATCAAAATTGAATACATAGGATTCATGCTTTTCAATTCTTGTGATGCTTTATTAAGAATAATGTGTTCCACTTCTATCCAGGTTAATACAAACGATGTAAAGACTCCATCTTTTTAAGGGCTGAATAGTATTCCATTGTATACATATACCACAGTTTGTTAATCCATTCCCAGATTGGTGGGCATTTAGGCTGTTTCCACATTTTGTCAATTGTAAATTGAATTGCACTAAACAGTCTAGTGCAAGTGTCCTTATGACAAAATATTTTTTTTTTCCCCTTTGAAGTACATGCCCAGTAATGGGATTGCAGGATCAAATGGGAGGTCTAGGTTGAGTTCTTTGAGGGTTCTCCAAACTTTCTTCTGAAAAAGCTGTATTAGTTTGCAGTCCCAATAGCAATGTAAAAGTGTTCCCTTCTCTCCACATCCATGCCAGCATCTGCAGTTTTGACATTTTGTGATGTGGGCCATTCTTGCTGGGGTTAGATGACATCTCAGGGTGGTTTTGATTTGCATTTCTCTAATTATTAGAGATGATGAACATGTTTGCATATGTTTCTAGCCATTCATTTGTCATCTTTAGAGAAGGTTCTATTAATCTGTCTTACTCATTGATATATGGGATTGTTGGCTTTTTTTCATGTGGATTAATTTGAGTTCTCCTTAGATCCTAGTTATCAAGCTTTTGTCTGATTGAAAATATGGAAATATCCTTTCCCATTGTGTAGGTTGTCTATTTGCTTTGGTTGCTGTCTGCTTAGCTATGCAGAAGCTTTTCAGTTTAATTATGTCCCATTTGTTTATTTTTGTTATTGTTGCAATTGCCACAGAAGTCGTCTTCATAAAGTCTTTCCCCAGGCTTATATCTTCCAGTATTTTTCCTATTCTTTCTTTGAGGATTTTTATCATTTTATGCCTTAAATTTAAGTCCTTTATCCATCTTGAATCAATTTTTGTGAGTGGAGAAAGGTCAGGGTCCAGATTCAGTCTTTTATATGTGGGTATTCTGTTCTCTCAGCACCATTTATTGAATAGGGAGTGTTTCCCCCAGTGTAAGATTCGGTGGTTGTAAGATGTTACTTTCATTTCCTGGTTTTCTACTCAATTCCAAGTGCATATGTCTCTATTTTTGTGTGAATACCATGCTCTCTTGACCACTATAGCCTTGCAGTACAGCCTAAAATCTGGTATGGTGATGCCTCCTGCTTTGTTTTTATTACTAAGAACTGCCTTAGCTTAGGGTATCTCCTGGCTCCATACAAAACACAGAATTATTTTTTCCAAGTCTTAAAAGTATGATATTGGTATTTTAATAGGGATGGCATTGAATCAACAGATTACTTTTGGAAGTATAAACATTTTAACAATGTTGATTCTTCCTAACCATGAGCATGGTACATTTTTCCATTTGTTAATATCCTCTGCTGTTTCCTTTCTTGGGGTTTCATAATTTTCATTATAGAGGTCCTTATCTCTTTTGTTAGGTATATTCCTAGGTGTTTCATTTTCTTTGAAGCTGTGGTGAAGGAAGTTGTGTCCTTCATTAACCTCTCATCTTGGTTGTTATTGAAGTATACAAAGGCTAATGATTTGTGGACATTGATTTTATATCCTGAGACATTACTGTATTTTTTGATGACTTCTGGGAATCATGTGGTTGAGTCTTTGGGGTTCTCTACGTGTAAGATCATATCATCAGCAAATAGGGAGAGTTTGACCTCCTCTGTTCCTATTTAGAGGCCCTTTATTTCCTTCTTCTTCCCTAATTGTATTGGCTAGAACTTCTAGCACTATGGTGAATAGCAATGACGACAGAGGACAACCTTGTCTGGTTTCAGTTCTAAGTGGAAAAGCATTCAGCTTTACTCCATTCAGTAAAATATTAGGTGTGGGTTTGTCATAGATAGCTTTGATCAGTTCAAGAAATGTGCCACCTATGCCCATACTCTTCAGTGTTCTAATTAAAAAGAGATGCTGGATTTTATCAAATGCTTTTTTTGCATCTATTGAGAGGATCATATGGTCTTAGTTTTTGCTTCTGTTGATACATTGATATCATTTATGGACTTGCATATGTTAAATCAGCTTTGCATTATGGTGATGAAATCTACTTGATCCTGATGTATGACATTTTTGATCATAAGCTGTAATCTATTGGACAAGATTTTGCTGAGAATTTTTGCATCTATATTCATTAGTGAAATTGGTTTGGAGTTCTCCATTTTAGTTGCATCTTTTCCTGGTTTTGGCATCAGGGTGATGTTTGCTTCATTGAACATGTTGGGGAAGATTCTTTTCTTCTCAATTTTTTGGAATAATTTCTGCAGTATGAGAATAAGGTCTCCTTTGAAGGTTTGATAAAATTCTGGTGTAAAGCCATCCAGATCAGGGCATTTTTTAATTGGGAGTTTTTTTAATTATTTTTTCTTTAATCTCAGTGCTTGAAAATGGTTTGTTCAAGAGCTCTATTTTTTCCTGGATAAGGGTAGGGAGAGTGCGTGATTCCAAATATCAATCCATTTCCTTCACATTGTCAAATTTCTGGGCATAGAGTTTCTGGTAGTATTTAGAGATAATCTCTTGTATCTCTGTGGCATCAGTTGTTATTTCCCCTTTATCATTTCTGATTGAGATTACTGGAGATTTTACTTTTCTATTTCTAGTTACTGTGGCCAAAAGTTTATCTATTTCATTTATTTTTTCAAAAAAAAAAAAAAACAACTTTCTTCTTTACTTTTCTGAATGATTTTTTTTTCAATGTCATTAATCTCTGATTTAATTTTTGGTATTTCTTTTCTTTGGCTGGGTTTAGGCTTAAAGTTACTTCTCTTTACAATTCCACAAGATGGTTTGTGAGTTTGTTGATGATCTCTTTCTTTTTTTCGAATGAAGGTGCATAAAGTGATACATTTTTCTCTCAGGACTGCTTTTGCTGTATCCCACAGATTTTGGTAGCTTGTGTCTTCATTGTTGTTATTCTCAAGGAAGTTAATGATTTCCTCTTTTATTTCTTCCTGCACCCAACTGTAATTCAGCATAAGGTTGTTTAATTTCCACGTTTTTGTGTGAGGTTGAACTTTTTAATTTGAGTTCCACCTTTAATGCCTTGTGATCTGAGAAGATACAACATAACATTTCAATTCTTTTGGTTCTGTTGAGGTTTGATATGTGTCCTAGGATATGATCAATTTTGGAGAATGTTTCATGGGCCGATGAGAAGAATGTATATTCTGTAACTTTGGGATGGAGCATTCTATATATGTCTATCAAGCACAGTTGTTCTAGGGTCTCATTTAAGACCCTTGTATCTTTGTTTATTTTCTATTTGGAGAATCTGTCCAGGTCTGTAAAAGGAATTTTAAAGTCCCCTGTTATTATGGTGTTACAGGATATCATATTGCTCACACTAATTAAGATCTGTTTCAAGAATCTGGGAGCATTTACCTTGGGTGCATAAATATTTAGAATTAAAATGTCTTCTTGCTGTATTTTTTCCTTGACCAATATGAAGAGTCCATCTTTTTCTTTTTTTACTTTAGTTGCTTAAAATACACATGTAACTGAAAATTAGATTGCAACCCCTCTTTTCTTCTGAATTCTGTTTGCCTGAAAAATTATCTTCCAACCCTTAACTCTGAGTTTTAATTTGTCTTTTGAGGTAAGGTGTGTTTTCTGCAGACAGCAAATGGATGGCTTCTGTTTTTTAATCCAATCACTCAATCTATGTCTCCTCAATGGGGAATTCAAGCAATTAACATTTATTGAGATAATTGATAAGTGTGGTAGCATTCTATTCATCTTATTTTACGAATGTTCGTTGCTTAGTTTTGTTTTTTGCATCATTGTGGAAGCTAGGTTCTGTCCTTTAATTTCTGGGTGCCTACTTTGCTGGTGGTCTATTGTGATTGTCAGTGTGTAGAACAGGTTGAGGTATTTCCTGTAGAGCTGATATTGTTGTGGCAAATTTCCTCAGTGTTTCATATCAGTAAAATATTTGATTTCTCTGTCAATTTTAAAGCTTAGCTTAGTGGGATATAGAATTCTGGGCTGGAAATTATTCTGTTTAAGTAGATTAAAAGTAGATGACCATTGTCTTCTGGCTTGAAAAGTTTCATTAGAGAAGTCTGCAGTCAGCCTGATGCATTCCCCCTGTAGGTCAATTGGTGCTTATTCCTAGCAGCTTGCAAAATCTTTTCTTTTGTCTTGATTTTGAACAGGTTCATCACAATGTGTCTTGGAGAAGCTCTTTTAGAGTTGAGGTGACCTGGGGTCCGACATCCCTGTGAAAGCAGTGTGTCAGAATCTTTGGTGATATTTGGGAAGTTTTCATTTATAATATTCCCCAGTATGGTTTCCATTACTCTGTGGCATTGTTCTCCCCCTTCTGGGATACCTATAACTCATATGTTTGAATGCTTCATAAAGTCCCATAATACTGTCAGTGAATGTTCTGCTTTCTTTTTTTTTCTGCCTCTGTAACTATATGAATTATCTCAAGAGCTTTGTCCTCTACTTCTGAGATTCTTTCTTCTGCATGGTCTAATCTGTTGTTGATACTTTCTATTGTGTCTTTGAGTATCCTAATTTACTGCTTCAATTCCTTCAGCTCTGCTGTATGCTTTCTATATTCTTCATATCATTCATCTCTTATTTGATTCTGTTTTTCGATTTCCTTTTGTTTCTTTCCACTTTCTCAGCAATTTTCTTCATTGTTTTCATCATCTGTATTTTAAATTCCCCTTCTGTCATTCTAACATTGGATTAATTGAAATAATTTTTGTATATAAACATATGCTGTGAACGTTAAACTACTCTAAAAATAAAAACTCTTTTATTTTTTATTGTGGAGGATTTCAATAGTGTCTTTAAGGATTTCTCCTTTCACTTTTTTTTTTTTTTTTAAGCTTTTAGAGTGGTGAATACTTGCCCCACACTACTGTAGTTAAAGAAGACCTGGTTTCCATGGAAGAAATTCATGATGTTAGTAACCTTGGCATTTTTATTTACCAACTTTGCAACAACAGAAAATCCTTCTGCTTCTCCCTTCATTGCAGAAATTTGTTGCTCAGTAGGCAACTTATTCCTTACTTCACCCTGTATTACACAGTGGAGGGAAGTGCAGGTAAAAATGAAGAGCAATATTACATAACTTTTCATTTACACTTTAAAAGATCAAAAGCTATCTTTCTGTGCATTTCCTCGAAGGTTTCAACAAACATGTTATTGATAAATGCTGGAAGATTAGACACTTTCCCAGTGAATTTATTGTTGAAACAAAGATCTATTAAGAATGAGGGGTAACAGATAAATTGTGTCCATGGCAATAAGAAGGCAGAGATTTATGGTATTGTTTTAATATTAAAGTTTATTGGATATTCCAGGTATTTACTCATGAATTTACTCTATTGCTTATACTTAAGGAAAAAAAAAAAAAACCTACAACCACTGCAATCTCTTGTCAAATTTCAGTTTATTTGCCTTTCCTTTATATTTTAAGCTAAAATTAAATGTTTCTAATTTTTCCTTTAGACTTACAGGTTTAGATTACTGAAAACAACATGAATATGTCGGCTAATATTCTGACAATAAATTTGAGCCATTGTTTTATGAAAGTAAGCTCATCACTCAATAATATTTTAGAGCACATTTTACATTTGAAATATTTAAAAATCTTTTTTAACTGTTTGTATAAAACATATCAACTCTCAATCTTGCTTTGTTTTTCTTTTATCTTTTTGCAACTTTTCTGAGTTTATAAATTACATCTTTGTGTTTCTGTTAGGTGCTCTCTGTAATAAAACTGTTTTAAATGTGAAAAATTTTCTTGGGAAAGTGATTTTTCAGTACTGCAGTGATTCCTTCTCACAGATATGTGTATTGTGACATCCACAAAACTTTATAGGTGTTGAATGCTGTAAGGAGTTGAGGATGTTTGAATTCTATAACTCTATAATAAATTTTACTATATTAACAGTTATTTATTTTATTTAATCACTTGAAATATGCTTAATGTGAATAACTAATGTTATTTACTTTGGTGCACCTGCAACAGACTGAAAATTATGAACTTACCTATTTCCCCATTCCTAACTCTACAAACTTATATTTTATTTTTCTATATTTTCCTCCTTTATTGACATTATAAAAATTAGTAATAAAAATAAGGTTATAAAAGGAGGGAGGAGTATTAAATTTTATCAAATACTTTCTATATATTATATATTTTTTAGTGGCTGAGTAATATTCCATGGTTTACATATAGCACAGCTTGTTAATCCATTCCTAGATTGGTGGGAACTTAGTCTGTTTCCACATTTTTGATATTGTAAATTGAGCTGCGATAAACAGTGTAGTGCAAATGTCCTTATGGTAAAAGAATGTTTTGTCTCCTGGGTAAATTCCCAGTAATGGGATTGAAGGATCAAATGGGAGATCTAGTTTGCGTTCTTTGACGATTTTCCATAATTCATTCCAAAAATGTATTAGTTTGCAGTTCTACCAGCAGTGTAAAAGTGTTCTTTCCACGTCCATGCCAGCATCTCTACCTTTGAGTCTTTGTGATGTGGGCCATTCTCACTGGAATTAGGTGGTATCTCAGGGTGTTTTTTTTTTTTTTTTCTTTTTTTTTTGGTGTGTTTGTTTGTTTGTTTGTTTGTTTAAGACAGAGTCCACTATGTCACCCTGGATAGAATGCTATGGTGTCATAGATCACCAGAACCTCAGACCTTTGGGCTTAAGTAATTCTCTTGCCTCAGCCTTCCAAGTAGCTGGGACTACAGGCGCTTGCCACAGTGCCTGGTTATTTTTTGGTTGTAGTTGTCATTGTTGTTTTGCAGGCCTGGGCTGGTTTCAGACCTGCCACCTCCAGTGTATGTGGCTGGCACCCTAGAGGCTGAGCTACAGGCACTGAGCCTCAGGGTGGTTTTGATTTGCATTTCTCTAACTTTTAGAGATGACAACCTTTTTTTCCACTTGTTTGTTAGTCATTCATCTGTCTACTTTACAGAAGGTTCTATTCATCTCTCTTGCCCACTGATATAGTTATCAAAAATATAACTTTTTATGTTGATTAGTTAGAATTCTCTGTAGATTTTAGTTATCAAACTTTTGTCCAATTCATAATATGCAAATATCTTTTCCCATTCTGATGGTTGTCTATTTCCTTTAATTATTGTCTTCTTAGCTATACAGAAGCTGTTCAGTTTAACTAAGTCCCGTTTGTTTATTTTTCTTTTTGCAATTGCCACTGAAATCTTCTTCATAAAGTCTTTCCTCAGGCCAATACCTTCAAGTGTTTTTCACCACTTTCTTCAAGGATTTTTATTGTTTCATGTCTTGAATTTAGATCTTTTATCCATCGTGAACAAATAATAATGAGGGGTGAAAGGTTTTGGTCCAGTTTCAGTCTTTTACACGTGAAAGTTCACCAGTTTCACACTGCCAGTTCTCCCAGCACTACTTACTCAATAGGGATTCTTTCCCCCAGTGTATGTTCTTTGGTTTATCAAAGATAAGGTGGCATCATCTCATTGTTTTCTATTCAGTTCCAAGTGCCTATGTCTCTATTTTTGTGCCAATACCATGCTGTTTTGATCACTATGACCTTGTAGTACAGCGTAAAGTCTGGTAGCTTTAGCTATACAAGATTCTTTTCTGGTTCCATGAAAAATGAAGAATTATTTTCTCCAAGTATTTTTATTTATTTATTTATTTTTAGACAGAGTCTTATTACATTGTCCTCAGTAGAGTGCCGTGGTGTCACAGCTCATGGCAACTCTAACTCTTGGGCTCAGAGAGATTACCTAAGCATTTGAAATAGCTGGGACTACAGGTGCCCAATGTAACACCTGGCTATTTTGTTGTTGTTGTTGTTGTTGTTGTCATTGTTGTTTAACAGGCCTGGGTTAGGTTCAGAACCACAGCTCTGGTGTATGTGGCCAGTGCCCTATCCACTGAGCTATGGGTGCTGAGCCTGTTTATTCCAAGTCTTGAAAGTATGATGTTGGTATTTTAATGGGGGTTGCATTGAATATGTAGATTGCTTTGGGAACTATAGACATTTTTAAAATGTTGATTCATCCCAGCTATGAACATGGCTCATTCTTCCATTTGTTTAAATATTCTGCTATTTCTTTACTTAGAGTTTCATAATTTTTGTTATAGAGGTCCTTCACCTCTTTAGTTAGATATATTCCTGGATCTTTCATTTTCTTTGAAGCTACTGTGAAAAAAAAATGGTGCCCTTGATTAATTTCTCATTTGGCTGGGTTTGTTTGCATATAAAAAAGCTACATTCCTTTTATATCCTGAGACCATACTGTATTTTCTGATTACTTCCAGGAGTCTTGTGCTTGAGTCTTTGGTGTTTTCCAAATATAAAATCATAACATTGGCAAAGAGGGAGGGTTTGACCTCCTCTGCCACCATTTGGATGCCCATTATTTCCTTCTCTTGCCTGATTGTATTGGCTAGAACTTCTAGCACTATGTTAAATAGTGTGGTAACAGAGAACAACCTTGTCAGGTTCCAGTTCTAAGTACAAAAGTTTTAGTTTTGCTTTGTTGAGTATAATATTAGCTGTAGGTTTTTCATAGATGGCTTTGGTCAGTTTAAGAAATGTGACACCTACACCTATGTTCTTCAGTGTTATAATTAGAAAATGATGTTGGATTTTATTGAATGCTTTTTCTACATCTATTGATAAGACCATATTGTCTTTGTTTTTGTTTCTATTGATATGGTGTATTATGTTTATGAACTTGTGTATGTTAAACCAGGCTTGCATCCCTAAAACCTACTTGATTGTGATGTATAACATTTTTATGAAAAGCTGTCATCTATTGGCTAAGATCTTATTGAGAATTTTTGCACCTTTATTCATTATTGAGATTGGTCTGAAATTCTCCTTTTTATTTGGGTCTTTTATTGGTTTTGGTATCAGAGTTATGTTTGCTTCATAGAATGTGTTGGGGAAGATTCATTCCTTCTCAATTTTTTGGAATAGAATCTACAGTGTAGGTATAAGCTCATCTTTGAAGGTTTTATAGAATTCTGATGTGAAGCCATCTGGACTAGGGCATTTTTGTTGTTATTGTTGTTGTTGTTGGGAGTTTCTTTATAGTTTGATATCAGTTCTTGAAAATGGTCTATTCACGAAATCTATTTCTTCGTGGTTAAGTCTAGGGAGAGGATGTGATTCTAAGTATTGATCCATTTTCTTCACATTGTCAAATTTCTGGGCATAGAGTTTCCTGTAATATTCAGAGATGATTTCTTTATCTCTGTGGCATCTGTTGTTATTTCCCCTTTATCATTTCAGATAGTGGCTACTAGAAAGTTTACTGTCTTGTTTACAGTTAGTCTGGTCAAA